AATATTCTAATAATACATTTATAGGTATTTTATTTATGTATTATATTATATTATATTATAATATAATATAATATAATATATAAATAAAATACCTATAAATGTATTATTAGAATATTTAATAATAAATTTTAAAAAATATATAATAATAATAGATTTTTTTCTCGTTATAATAATATAAAAATTATACTTAAAAGTCTACGTATTAATGAAATATTTTACTTTAAAAATAGAATAAATATAAAATATTATATAACTTTTTATATAAAATAAATAAAAAAATAAGGTTTTTTTTAAGCTTTATAAAGACGTTATATTATATAAATTAAGTAAATATTTTTTAAATAATTTTTTTTACTTACATTATATATAAAAAACTAAAAAAATATATAATATATATTAATTATTTTAAAATAATATTAAATAATAAATAAAAATATATATATAATATAAGATAATTATATAATAATATATTCTTAATAATATATATTTTTTTTATTTTTCTTTTATTTATTACTAATTTAAATTATTTATTATACTTTATATTTTAAATATTTTTGGAGGAGCCGAGTCACGATAACTGGCATTGGTGTCATGCCAATCCCTGCTTCGTATTTCATTCAGCCGTCAGGGATGGGGTTTGTAGTATACTAGTTCTCAATGCCACCGCTGAGACTACGGAGTCCATGAGAGCCTTTGTAAAAAGGGAAAAGAATAAGAATAATAAGAATAATGACCCCCCTCTTCCAGGTTTGCACTTGCGGCGCATTATACATGTTGCTAAACACCCTCGAATCCTCCCGTGGTGATTTCAGTGTGGGTGTGTTGTTATTATTGGTCAAGAAGGCCTAGTGTTCTATATCACAACTTGACCATGAAGCTCACAACCGAGACTGTGCTTCTTGCCGCCCTATTCGCAGGGCAGGTTGCCGGCTTGGTGCCGAGGACAATCAAGATCAAACAGCACTACCGCGAGAACTCAACCTTTTCCAAGCTTTTTGCCGCGCCGCCCATTGCCAACGGTGAGATCGACCGCGCCGGATGGAAGGCAAGGTGCGATAGCTTCGAGCCAGGCAACGAGTGCGACAAGGCGATTGACGGCAACAACGACACCTTTTGGCACACAAAGTTTGAGGACTCGAATGTGCCGCACCAGATCGTCGTCGACTTTGGCACCACGCACAACATCAACGGCATCTCGGCGCTGCCTCGACAGGACGGCAACGACCACGGCTTCATTGCGCAGCACGACGTGGCCGTCAGCACGGACGGGAGCAACTGGGAGACGGTGGCGGCGGGGACCTGGTACGGCGGCGACAAGACGCTCAAGTACGCCAACTTTGAGACGCGTACGGTGCGCTACGTGCGCATCCGGGCCACGAGCGAGGCCAACGGCGGCCCGTGGACGAGCCTGGCCGAGCTCAAGGCGTACGAGGCCAAGTCGGGCCCGGCGCCGTACAACCGGGTCGGCAAATGGGGCCCGACGATTAACTTTCCCACGGTGCCCGTGGCGGCAACCGTCGACCCCGTCTCGGGCAAGGTGATTGTGTGGTCGTCGTACACGTACGACAACTACCTGGGGTCCTCGCAGGACCGCGTCTTCACGTCCATCTGGGACCCGGCCACGGGGCTGGTGACGCCCAAGCTGGTGGACAACACGGACCACGACATGTTCTGCCCGGGCATCTCCATCGACGGCACGGGCAAGATGGTGGTGACGGGGGGCAACTCGGCGTCCAAGACGACGCTGTACGACTTTGCCAGCGGCACGTGGGCGCCGGGCCCGGACATGAACCTGCCGCGGGGCTACCAGGCGTCGGCGACGCTGTCGGACGGGCGCGTCTTCACCATCGGCGGCTGCTGGAGCGGCGGGTGGTTCGACAAGAACGGCGAGGTGTACGACCCCAAGGCGCGGACGTGGACGAACCTGACGCGGGCGCTGGTGCGGCCCATGTTGACCAACGACACGCAGGGCATCTACCGCGCCGACAACCACGGCTGGCTGTTTGGCTGGCGCAACGGGAGCGTGTTCCAGGCCGGGCCCAGCGTGGCCATGAACTGGTACACGACGGCCGGCGACGGCAGCGTCACGCCGGCCGGGCAGCGCCGGCCCGGCGGCGACTCGATGAACGACAACGCCGTCATGTTCGACGCCGCCCGGGGCCGCATCCTGACCTTTGGCGGCGCGCCCTCGTACCAGAACAGCCCGGCCACGGCGCACGCGCACCTCGTCGCCGTCGGGGACCCCGGGTCGCCGGCCGACGTGCGCCTCGCCTCCAACGGCATGTGGAGCGCGCGCTCCTTCCACACGTCGGTCGTGCTCCCGGACGGCACCGTCTTCATCACCGGCGGCCAGAGCTGGGCCGTCCCCTTCTCCGACGACGCGGCCCAGCTGACCCCCGAGCTGTACGACCCGGCCGCCGACTCCTTCCGCCAGCAGCAGCCCAACTCCATCATCCGCGTCTACCACAGCGTCGCCCTCCTGCTGCCCGACGCCCGCGTGCTCAGCGCCGGCGGCGGCCTCTGCGGCGACTGCAACACCAACCACTTTGACGGCCAGGTCTTCACGCCGCAGTACCTGCTGACCGCCGACGGCGCGCCCGCCGCCCGCCCCGCCATCCGCTCGGCTGCCCTGTCCGGCCGCACAATCACCATCGCCACCGACTCGCCCGTCGCGTCCGCCTCGCTGGTCCGCTTCGGCACCGCCACCCACACCGTCAACACCGACCAGCGCCGCGTCCCGCTGACCTTGGTCCGCGCCGGCACCAACCGGTACACCGCCGATGTCCCCTCCGACTCGGGCGTGTTGCTGCCCGGCTATTACATGCTGTTTGTCATGGATGAGAACGGCGTGCCGAGCGTTTCCAAGACGCTCAACTTCTTGGTGTGATTGGGGTCGGAGGAGGGGACCCATGTGGCTGATGATGAGCAATTGGCGGCGTGGAAAACGGTCACTTGACCATTCACTTGTACATTTTTTTTCTACCACTTCTTCTTTTACCTTGTACATATGGGTTTTGTGCACTTGGCGTCATGAACATGCCCGTTTAGCCGTCTGCACTAGATTTACCGGGGTGGAAAAGGAGGTCTCGCTACATATTTCGGGAAGCATTTGCACCGCATGGGCATGTAGGGACAGCGAACCTGGAGATGCACATGCTTCATAGATGACACATGAATCATGCCCCGTAATGTAAATTTCCAGTCCCCGGTTGAACCTTCAATAATGGAATGGGAATGGCTTGGTAGCGTCTGACGGCTGGCGTTTGGTCACCCAACCCACCATGACCATGTTCACGGTTCGTGCAGCTCCCACGCCTCGTGAATCCTCACCCTCCCGCCGTCAGCCTCCAACTGTCAAAGTTGCGAATGGAACGTGGGCTACTGCCTCGCACTTGGGCAGACGCTGTTCACCTTTGCCTCACAAGCACGTGGATATTGTGTGAATTTGACAGTTGTCCGAAAAAAAAAAAAGGCCAGGCCATGTTGGGGTGCTAAATACTGCACTTCAATTATCGAGACACACCATGGCCAATGTCAACACGTAGCTCTTGCATTCTTCAACACTTCGTTTGCTCGACTAATATCTGTCCCCAAGTCTTTGATGCCTCTACACGGCTACGATGTAATATGAAAAGCCAACCGCGTCGCTGTTAATTTCGACCCAAGTCCAATGCCATGACTCCTAGCAGAATCCGTTTTTCTCCTTCACAAAGCAAAGCTACACAAAGAGTAGATGCAGTCGGCACAAACTCAGTGCGTACACGAAATGCGGAATGTTTAGGGTTTGCAGCGCCCCATGTAGCGCGGATACAGGCAGCAATCTCGAACAGTGTGCTGCTTGCACAGCCAGGCGAGGAGACGCTCGAGACCAATGCCGTAACCGCCGTGAGGGGAGCTTCCATATCTGTTCCAACGTGGTTAGCAATTTTGCGTGCAGCCCAACGCGACAAACGGCATCGTTCCGGCCGACTTACTTGCGCTGGTCGATGTACCAGTAGTATGGCTCGGGGTCAAGGCCCTCGCGCTTGCACGCGGCAAGCAGCTCGTCGTAGTCGTCTATTCTCATGGAACCACCCACAATCTCACCGACGCCGGGCATGAGACAGTCAACGCTCTCAGTCACTCTGTTATCCTCGGGGTCCCTCTTCATGTAGAAGGCTTTGATATGCGCGGGGAAGTGGGTGATGAAAACGGGCTTGTTGATGATGTCTGTCATCTTGCGCTCAGCGGCCTCGGCAATGTCGTCACCAAAGTTGTGCGGGTTGCCCTCTTCGTTGGGGATGTCGTGGTCAATGAGCCACTGAATGGCGTCCGAGTACTTCATGCGCAGAAAGGGTCGCTCAGGGACCTTGAATTCGGGGTTAAGCGTCTTGATGTACCCGGCAATCATGGGATCCTCCAGGACCAGCTCCAGGACACGGCAGATGAGGGACTCAAGGTGAGCCAAAAGGTCGTCAAAGTCAATAAAGTCGAGCTCGGCCTCGATGTGAGTGAACTCGGACAAATGTCTCCGAGTCAGGGACTTTTCAGCACGGAAAGACTTCTCGATGCAGTAGACGCTACCCATGGAAGGCAGGCAGGTCTCCAGATACAGCTGAGAGGATTGGGTGAGGAAAGCATCGGCTCCGTAGTAGTCAAACTTGAAGAGCGTGGAGCCGCCTTCGACCTGAGTCTGTACCAGCGCAGGAGGGCTGACCTTGCGGATCCGGGCTTCGTGGTAAGTCCTGTTGAAGGCGTATTCCAGTGCATCACGGACAAGAAGGACTGAGGAGGCGTTCTCCCCACGGAGGGTAAGGTGGCGGAGGTCAAGCAGAGTGGCGTGCTCAGTAGAGGCCGTGACTCTGTTGGTGATGGCATCGTCACCGCCAACGGCTCTCCAGTGCTTGGGTATCTTGTAAAAGTCGGCGTGCAGTTCTCGGTTGAGAGGGGCGCGGGCTCCCGCGGGCACCTCGCGCATTTCACCAAAGATCTCCATCGAGGTCTCACGGGTCAGGGTGAGAGCGTCATACGTCTTGGCAAGTTTGCCAGAGATGACCACCTGCATGAAGCCATAGCCATCACGCAGGGTGACAAACAAAACATCCTTTTGTTTTCTCTCGCGATGGACACGGCCGAGCACGCGGACTCGGGTTCCTTTGCTCTCGGCATCGTCGGCCTTGCGAAGCGCAATGTGGTCACCAGCTTCATCAAGTTTAATGGTGACGGGTTTGGGAAGGCTGGGATCCTCCTCGAGAACAATCTTCTTGGCCTCTTCCAGAACCCTGTGGCGCTCCTCCTCCTCCTTCTTGCGGTGGATGGCGAGTTCCTGCTCGCGCGCAGCCTTCTTCTTTTGTTGCTCGAAGTAGTTGACAACCTTTTTCATGGCAGACTTGGCTGCAGGCTTCCATTCTCGGGCGGTCTCATCGTCGGCGCTCTCAGATTTTCGTGTCAGGTACTGGGCCTGGGCGGGGTGTTGGAGATAAGCGAATTGAAGCGTCTTGAAGGGAGACTCCTCAGTGCCCTGCTGCGTGGGCTCGTCCTTGCCGATGTCCTCGTCAATAAAGATGGTCGCCATGGTGAATGGTTTTTGTGTCTTGCGAGGAGTGTTTGGTCAATGGCAGGAGAGTGCTGCGTTTTTAAATACGACGCGACACAACAATTCGTGACATGAGTCACAGCATAAATGTCAGAGATTTGATGGTCTGATTGACTGTGCGCTCCGTATCGGACCAGTCCAAATCACCCCGCGGGTGGCTCAAGTGTGGCGGGGGACAGCCCCCAGCGTGGCGACCCCGCCTCC